TGCCTGCAATGCAGGAGACCCGGGTTTGGTCCTCCTGGGTTGGGAGGATACCCTGGAGAAAGAAACAGCAACCCACTCCAGTATTCTTGCCTGGAAAATCCCATGGACAGAGGAGCCTGGTGGGCTACACGCATGGGGTCACAAAGGGTCAGACAGGACCGAGTGATTCACAGATACAGACACACACACACAGAAAGGGCAAGCATCTCAAGGTGGGGCTCAGGCGGTAATGCAAGCCATGGGAGTGGTTATCAATATAGATGAAGCGTCACTCATTCACCTACCACTCACCTGCCGTGTGGCCCAGTTTCTAACAGGCCACTAACCAGTCCCAGTCCATGACCCAGAGGTTGGAAACCCTTGCTGTAGGAGGAAAGAGCACTTCCCACTCCTCACTGCAGAAACGATGACCCTAAGGCAGTTCACCACAATGTCTCGTAAATCCACTCCAAATGTGGACCATGGACCAGCAGCATCCACGCCACCAGGAAGCTGGTGAGAAATGCAGACTCTCAGCACCACCAACCCCCGCCCCCCGACCTGACAACCAGAATCTGCATCAGGAACAAGACCCCCGAGTGATTCCTGTATGTAAGGTTTGAGAGGCACTGCTCTAAACCAAAGGACGACTCAGCTAACAGTCTGAAAGTTTATGGATTCTGAGAGATCATATTTTGGTAGCAAAAAATTTTACTGAAATTGTTAATAAAGGTACAGAAAATACCTATTAGATAGCTTTTGCCTATTACCATTTGATCTCAAACACTGATATCTTTTTAATTTAAATTTTATTTAAATGTTGGCAGGGGAAGAATTCCAGATTGTTGTAAGAAGCTGAATGAAAGAAGAAAACGGGCCCTTTGGGGCTCTCACCAAAGACAATACAGCATTATCTCCCATGTATCCCATGGCCCTGTGGTCCCATTTTAGGGACCTATTTGTGATAAGACAAACACACTCACATAAAATCTGCTATTGTAATCATTTTTTTGAATTTTTATAATAGATGGATTTATTAATTTAGTTGCACATTGCCTTTTAATCTCACATAGAGACTTAGAAATAATCTGATCTTCCACACACACTTCATGAAATACTTCTCTGTTTAGCCTCTTCTCACGCATGTAAGACATCAGTGTTTTTGTCATCACCAGAACCCCTTGCTGAATCACCTAACAGGTTTCTAGAATTCATCATCATCACTTCGGTTAAAGACATTGAAGGCACAGCACGTTAAAAACCTGCACATGATTCTGTCCCTAAAAAAATATTTCCCAACCACAAGCAGCCATTCTCCTCATACCAGCACGGCTGGTGTCTTTCATCTGTCCTATGGCTTATCCGTGATGTGATCCCTAACTACTGTCTTTTTGTTGTTGTTTAGTCAATAAGTCATGTCTGACTCTTTTGAGACCCCATGGACTATAGCCCGCCAGGCTCCTCTGTCCATGGGATTCTCCAGGCAAGAGTACTGGAGTGGGTTGCCATGCCCTCCTCCAGGGGATTTTTCCCGACCCAGGCATTGAAACCATGTCTCCTGCTTGCCAGGCGGATTCTTAACCACTGAGCTACCAGGGAAGCATGCTGCTTTTAATTACCTTTAAAAGACTTGTTTACAGCATGCCAACACTTAAAATCATGAGGGTCCAATTCCAAGAACAACTGCTAAACCTTCTAACATTCTCTATCATTCTCTTTTATCCAGGTGACCTCTGCGTTAATTGCTCAGTCGTGTCCAACTCTTTGCAACCCCATGGACTGTAGCCCGCCAGGCTCCTCTGTCCATGGAATTCTCCAGGCAAGAATACTTGCCATTTCCTTCTCCAGGGGATCTTCCCAACCCAGGGATCGAACCTGGGTCCTCCTTCATTGCAGGCCGATTCTTTGTTGTCTGAGGAACCAGAGAAGCCCAAGGCAACCTTTGAAAGCACTTAAAGACTAGCACTAAGTTAATACAAGGCTGAATAACATCTTTCTAAATGATACTTTGTTTCTCAAAGTAAAGAGGGCACCTTACAAAAGCTCTTTGTAAAGGATCTGGGTGTCAAACTCCTTGCAATCACTTTTAAGTGTACAGTTCAGTGGCAGTTAAGTACATTCACATCGCTCTGTGACCATCATCATGGTTCATCTTCAGAACATTTTCATTCTCTGAAACCAGAAACTCCAGACCCATAAAATAACTCCCCATCCTCCCTTTCCCTCCGAAACACCAGTATCTTAATAAGAACATAACCAAATTTGTCTGAAATTGGCCAGTACTATAAAAGTTACCACGTGTTTGACCAGGACAAGGCCGCGCTCTCCATCTCTGACCTGATTCCCTCAAGACTCTCTCCCTGTTCAGATGAACAGTGGGTGTGCCGGGCCTGGGCGCCAGGACCAGGTACAGAACTGCTAATCCTTGGTGGTTATGCCTGCTACGTCCTGCTGTGAAACTGCTGTCAGGGCAGGAAGAAGGAGGTCAGAAGAAAAAGAAACGAGAAGTCTTTCGGCCACTGCCAGCTCTGGAGCCACGTCAGATCCACGTCTTTCCAACCTGTCGTACTTTTCTCATATTTTAAACCATTTCCTACATGGGTCACCAAGCTAATTACAGTTGTTACACTTGGGAATGACAGAGCGGACAACGTAAGACCAAGGACTTGATGGCCGATTGAGGACACCCAGGTTGGGAGTTGCTTTCATGTTTAAGTATATACTTTTCTGGTTTAGTTCTTTCTGAAACCCGCAGTCCATAAATACAAATCAAGAGGGAATAAAACTGCTGGCTTGACCATCCCTTTCGACGCTGAGGGCTGCCCATCGACCAGCTGGCAATAGGGTCACACGACACCAACTGCTGACCATGTATGACATGGGCAGTAAGCTCAGAGGCTGTTAGAAATGCTTTGTGAGAAGCCTCTGCTGAAAAAAGCATAGTTCAATAGGAATAGAAAGCATCTTTGGAATATTGAGGTTGCTACCTTAAATAAAACAAGCCAGGAACAAAAAAGGACAAAAAATATATGACTGTGCTCATAGAAGTATCGAAAAGAATTAAAATCAGAGATAGAAAATAGAAAGGTGATTACCAAGGACTGGGGGAATTAAGCCTTTGCTGGATACACTGTCTCAGTAGATTATTGCAAAATGGAAAAGTTCAAGAGACCTACTGCTCAACAACGGGAATGCACTTCACAACTACTGAACTGTACGCTTCAACATGGTTAAAATGGGAGTTTTAACATTATGTGCTTTGCATCACAATTTTTTAAGAGGAAACAGGGGGGGAAAATAAAGTATCTTTGGGATTAAAAGTAAGTAAAGAATTCCATTAAGCTCTGTCAGGCCAGATACACTGTTTAAATGTTATTTTGCCTTTTTTACATCATCTTGAGAAGGATGAAAGGCGCTGAATTCTCATCTGGGGAAAGGGAGAAGGCAAGACACAAAAACGCTGGCCAGGTCACTTGGTCCTTAGTTTCTAGATCACATCACCCTACCTGAGAACCTGATGAGAAAGAGCCCAGACTGGGCAGCAGTGACTGTAAGACAGGTGGTCTCTTCGACCCCCGCTCCCTGCCCCCACCTCTACTGCATATCACAACTGCATCTTCACCACCAGGTAAATCCTGAAGAGCATTCAAGATGCTCAGATGAAAAAGGAACTCAGAAACTGCAAAACAGCCCAGAAACATCACTGCTTAGCAAGCCCAGAAATGAGGAGTGTACTACCAAGAGGCTCATCTCTGCTCAAGGTCTCGATAATCAAGTAGCCCGTCAGTCACACACTACACAAACACTGACCTTGAAGCGTCTGTTCTCAAAGCAACTCGCAAACAAAATTCAGAAACGATGAATGTTAAACACTGGCGCACAACCTCCTTTCGTTTCTTTATGTCTTAAATTTTAATGTGCCTCTGAAGGAGGGACCCACTTGTATAACATTAAAATTGGTTTCCTTCGGGATTAACAGATACAAACTGCTATATATAAAATAAACAATAAGCACATACAGTATAGCACAAGGAACTGTATTCAATACCTGCTAATAATCTATAAGGGAAAAGAATCTGGAATATATACATATTTACATATAACTGAATCACTTTGCTGTATGCCTGAAACTAATACAACATTGTAGATTAAGTATGTATGTATTTGTATATGCACTCAGTCATTCAGTCATGTCTGATTTTTTATGACCCCATGGATTGTAGCCCACCAGGCTCCTCTGTCCGCGGGATTTCCCAGGCAAGAAAACTGGAACGACTTGCCATTTCCTACTCCAGGGGATCTTCCGACCCAGGGATCAAACTCGCACCTCTTGTGTCTCCTGCACTGGTAGGCCCATTCTTTACCACTGAACCACCTGGACTTCAGTTTCTTAAAAAATTGTAAATTGGTTTCCTGGTAAAATGGAGAAGCTAGGCTCCTTTTCAATTGTCCAGATATAATCAATGGGCCGGTGTGTAGATTCAAGTATTCGTTCTCAGTCATTTTCACTTGTTTTACACTAAAGAATGGGAACCTTGGAGCAGTGGTCCCTACAGACAGAGGAGCTTCTTCAGTTGCTTCACAAGGTGGATAAGGAGGCTCAGGATATGTGGTTTGCTCCATCCTGTCTTTACAGGGATCAGGTCACCTCTATAGACTCACTGGCAGACCAGTATTCCCAACACTAGGCAAGTTTACAAACTTTTAGGGAAAGTCGCCATGAAACTGATCATCACCCTATATGTCTGCTTCGTCCTGATCCCCAGGAGAGAAACCAGCCACATGCAGTGTTCTTCTGTCACGTCCCGGTCGGAACGCTTTGCTTTCCATTTGGGAGAATTTTTTAACTGCGTCTCTCACACACTCAAGGTGCGCATTACACATTCCTTTTGGGATTCTGTTTCATCACTGAGAAAAGATGCCTAGGGCATGAGGGGTGGGGGATGAACACACGTGCCCTTACTCAGGGCCCCTTGAGGAAGCAAACACGGCTGGTACGAAGCTGCAGGCTCTCTGCTCACCTGACCATAGTCCGTCTGGAAGACCACAACGCCCTCCGCGCAGGAATTTACGGTACTGGGGAAATGCTGGCCATTTTCTCTCAGCCAGACCCGTGCTCCCTGTAAATAAAACAAAAAGCATATAACTATGAGTTGAAACTGCATTTTGTGGCAAAACACCACCCATAAAATTACTATACTTAACTAAATTCCTTAAAAAAGTCAGTTTTTGAAAAGCAAATGTCTTTCTCAAATAAGCAAGGAATGAATCTTCAAAGAAAGCATCACCCACAGCCTTCTGTGTTAGCTGAGCAGTCGCGTCCGACTCTTTGCGACCCTATGGGCTGCAGCCCTCCAGGCTCCTCCGTCCATGGGATTTTCCAGGCAAGGATACTGGAGTGGATTGCCATTTCCTTCTCTGGGGGATGTTCCCGACCCAGGGACTGAACCTGGGTCTCCTGCGTTGCCGGTGGATTCTTTACCATCTGAGCCAGCCGGGAAGCCCACACACACCCACAGCCTTACATATGTACGAGAGTGACTGACAGCCCCACCAAACAGAGCAAGAAACGAAAGGACAGAGAAAACCGTACTAAAATGCAACTGATTTCTGTGGATTATCTCATTTCATTCACACATGCCCTTTGAGGTCATTTATCATCCCATTGTATAGATGGAGAAGTGGAGATCCAGAAGTAGCTTGCCCAACATCTCACATAAAGAAACTGCAAGCTTAATCAGGTCACCACACTGCTTCATCTCAAGTCGAGAACTCTACGGGACGTTCAGGCTCCAACTTCCCAGGTCCAAGCCCCATGCATGCACTTCCCCACTTGGAGGGCACTGACTTCCTCCTTGTACAAAATCCACTGACCTCTCCACGAGAGGGATTACGTTTTAGTAAGTATTACACCCCAGTCCCACTGGTACGAATCTTGGCAGAATTCCACCAGATAACAAATGCACCCCAAAATTTGGAATTACAGCCCAAGAGATAGCAACTTCCAGATCCTACTGTTTTAACCTAGGGCAAAATGTTTTGGCATCAATTTTATTTCTCTTTTTTACTTCCCCACTGGATAAATGAAATGGCAATCAAAATACCTAGCTTTCCAATGCTGAATTTCCTCTTTCTTTGATTTCCCAACATGAAAACCGTTTGTTTTCAAGGACGAGTGATAAAAATGTTTGCAGAAATTACTGGGTGTTCACCGGTCATTCAAATTATAAACAGTTACCTTTATGGCAATGCTTATACATGGTGATGGGAATGTAAATTGGTGCAGCCACTATGCAAACAGTATGAAGTTTCCTTAAAAAACTAAAGTGGAACTGCCACATAATCCAGTAATTCCACTCCTGAGTATATATCCAGAAAGGAAAAAAATACAAAATACAAAAAATACAAAAATACAAAATACAAAAGATACATGCACCTCAATGTTCATAGCAGCACTATTTACAATAGCCAAGACAGGAAAGCAACCCAAGAGCCCATAAGACAACTGGATAAAGAGGATGTGATGTACAGATACGTGAAAATTGCTTAGTCATAAAAAATAATGAAATACTGTCATTTGCAGCAACGTGGATGGACCTAGGTAACTTATGTTTAGTGAAATAAGTCAGAGACAGACAAATACTGTATGATATCACTTATATATGGAGTCTGAGAAAAGAATACAAACATATATGCAAAATAGAAACAGACTCACAGGCATGGAAAACAGCCTAGTGGTTACCAATGGGAAAAAGGAGGCAAGAGGGATGTAGTAGGGGTGTGGGATTAACAAATACAAATTACTGTATATAAAATAGATAAGCAAAAAGGATATACTGTATAGCATAGAGAATTATACCCATATCATGCATTATACCCATTAACCCACAATGGCATATAATCTGCAAAAACACTGTACTACTATGCTGTACACTGAAACTAACACAATAATCTACATCAACTATACTTCAATTAAAAAATATTTAATTTAAAAAAAGAATTACTTTTATGACTTAATGTATACCTAATGTGCTGGAATCACTTTAGTATCTCATATTATTTCTACTCTGCTCAATTTCATCAACTCCAACAAAAATGAAACAGTGGAAACACACCAAAATTATCACCTGATATATTAACAGCACTTAAAGCTTCTTTTTTTTTTACAACTTTCAACCTCATATCATTGATCTGCTTATTAATTTGTTTTAACTTGAGATGTTAAATGAAACATTCAAATGTATTGGTTATTATACATTTAACTTCTAATGTAAGGGACTACTACTGATCTCAACACAGGGAGATGGAAGGGGATAAACAATGTCCAAGTAAACTAAGTATACTCAGCACTTTATGCTACTTTAAATTATGTTATTACTCACATAAACAGTAGCTTCCAGTAATGGAGTGCCCATGAGATATCCCAGTCGTGTGCTAAAAGCCTCAATAACACTGATACTAACTTAACTTTTGGTAAGACAGGAATCCTTGCCCTGAAACTCAAGTTCAGAGCTTAGGTCCTTATCTAATGTCACACAGCTAGTGACCAAATCAGGTCTCAAACCTTTCCAATTCCTTATTCCATGCTCTTTCCACACACCACACAATGTGTTTCCTTAAAGTAATTCATGAATAAATAAGACGCACTAGTAGGTCAGTCAACAACTAAAACATACCAGTACACAATGGTCACTTTAAGCATCCAGTGATCACAGGGATCTCCTACTACAGGGGAAAATTTAAGACATAAAAATTCAACTTACAAGTTACTCCCTTAGTGCCAATGACAACTGTTTAAAACATACCAGCCAGGATCTAAAACACTTGTTGTCACCACTGTGACCTGAGATCCCCATGAAGTCAATCTTGAGTTTGATGAAAGTATTTAGGACCAGCAGGCTAGACCTCGGGGCTCTGGGAGGAGGGGGACCCAAAGATGGGGCCACCCACCCGTGAGGTTCTCCAAGCATTTCCACCAAGATCAAGGTGACTGGAGTCCCAGGTTGAAATACCACCAGCTCCTATTCCTCTTACAGGTTCCAGAGTTCCCCTAGCATCCCTACTGCCACCCTAAATAAGGACCCCCCACAATGGGCAACCCCTTTTCTCTTTAGTGTGGGAATTCTAAGTTAACTCCCAACTTCAACCTTCCCTCCAGGGAGGGGTTGAAATCCTCCATAATGAAGATGGGAAACAGTATCCAAAACAAGTATGAGGGGTTTCTTTACAAATTCTGAAGACCACCTTATATGAAGGACACAGGTCCCACCAACAGGGCCGAGTTCCCATCCCGGCACAGGTCGGTCAGGGAGCTCCGATTCCCACTTTGGCTTGAGACACCGGGAACATCCAGAAAGGACACAAGTGCTGGGCAGTCCTGGTTTATTAGCAAACAGCTCTTTTCCAAGAAGAACACTTACTGCAGGCATCTCTAAGACTGCTCTTTCAAATACCATTTCACACCAAAACTGCAGTATTTGTAATGGTCTAGATAGAGACTTCCAAACGTCTTAACTACTTGTTTAGCCTTTTTAAAATTCACATGTCAAGACACTGCAACACTGAAAGGCTTCAAATACCTACATGTAAAGAATCCACCTGCCAAGGCAGGAGACTCAGGAGACTCTGGTCCAATTCCTGGGTTGGGAAGATCCCCTGGAGTAGGAAATGGCAACCCACTCCACTATTCTTGCCTGGAAAATCCCATGGACGGAGGAGCCTGGTAGGCTATAGTTCATGGGATCACAAAGAGTCAGACATGACTGAGCATGCAAACACACACACACACACACACACATACACACTCAAATGGAAACTTTCAAGGTCATAACACAAGAGCTTTTACTCATTAGGTAAAACCATGAAATAATCACAGTGGACCTCCGTCCCAGAATCCTGAGTCCAAAGCTTTCTGTTTGCTGTGATTACCACCTGCATTGCTTTGATCAAAAAGGATTTCACGTCTGTTTCCCAAGTCTCAAAATTGTCTATTTATATGAATTAAGATTCTGTTATGAAACATCACTGAATTAACATAAATTGTCACCAGGATTAATATAAACCTCCCAACTCCCAGAGGCTAGAGTGTGCTGTTTCTTTCACTTGAGTTTTGCTGTGACTCTTTTCGAACCTTCTCATTTCAAAGTATTACCAAGCCCGTTGTTGACACAGTCCTGCCTACATGATCAAACACACAATTCAACTTACTTAGTCCAAAGGTCTTTCTCAACAGGTGTGAAGAGCTGCTGATAAACAAGTCTTACAAAATCCAGCCCTGATTTCCAATCCAGAGCCCCCTAACCAGTTTTCCTAAACCCAGAGCAGTGTCTTCCCCAGATAGAAAGGGAAATGCATTCAAAACACCCCCTTTGTTCTCTGAAAAAGTTTAAACAGGCAATTTTCATAGAATCAGACTTGCAAAGTAAAACTGGTGCAATGGATATTTTTCACATAGATGGTTCTGGATGGTTTCTCTCAGCCCTCAAACTTTCTGCCTCCATTCTATTCGAAAAGAACACATATGCCCCGGTCCAGAAAAGAGGCCACCCACAGGCATTTGAAAACGAAGTCACAGACAGACATTTACCAGAACATCCAAGTTTGAGTAGGGAAGAAACATACGCCCAACCATATGCAAACCATTATATTCTGTCACTGTTAAACAGGCTGATAATTTAATGTACAACACAGGCATATGGAGAAAACTCCTAGCATATGGGGAAAACTCACAACTGGAGTAAAAATATGCCTTTAAAAGCAGGTGGAACAAGTTGGATCACAAAATACACGTTTTATTAAAACTCTGTATGTTTTCATCTTAATCTGAGACAGGTATGTGTTAAATTCAACTTCTAAAAACTTTTCTGCACACAATCACCAGTAACAGTTTTACAAGATAAAGCACTGGCCCAGAAATTCCCATCTCTTTGAACTTGAGGGAAATCTTGTAAGATAAGGGGGCAAGTAATACAATTCCTTTAAAAATTAGGTTCACAGAGATTCCATTTTTCCACTGCCAACGAATAACTTCCTGGCTGTACTAAAGACTGACCATACCAAGTGTTGGTGACAATGTGGAAAAACTGGTGGTGATATAAAATGGTATATCTACCTTGGAAAA